TATTTACTAAAGATTCGAATTTGTATTAAAATCTTCCAGAAAAGAAAATTCCAGACCCAGATGAATTCCTGAGAGACTATATCAAATACTTATGGATGAACCAAAATAGTAACAATTCTATACAAAACATTCTAGAAAACTGAAGGAGAAAAAAGCCTCTCAATTTTCACCTTATGAAATCAGCATTGCTCTGATACTAAAACCAGACAAAACATAAGAAAACTAAAGATCAAAATCTCACATGGATGTAAAACTAATTTAAGTTCTTAGCAAATCAAATCCATCCACCATACAAAAACAAACCACAGGCCAGATTTCCCTGCCCTGCTTTTAGTACACTGTTTCCCTACCATAATGATCTAAATCAAGTAGATAACGAAAACATTTGTAACCACACACTGACAAAAACTGGCAAGGTTTACTATTTAAGGTGACTGGCTTGCCGGGCATGGTGGTGCACACCCGTACTCCCAGCACGGGAGAATGAGGCAGGAGGATCATTGCGAGTTCCAGACCAGCCTGGGCTACCAAGTGAGCTCAAGGCCAGCCTGAACTGCACTGCGAGACTGTCACCAAAATGACAAAAACAAACAAACAAAAAAGGTGACTGGCATGGATGTCAGCTACAGTGGGCACTAGCGAAGGACTGAGGACTTATTCTGATGTCTCTATACAATATTTATTTTTCTCAAAGTTCAGGACTTTATTTTGCTTACTGCTTTAAATATTTCTTATTAACTCAACTCTGAGCCATTCACTTGTATAAAACTTTTCTGAAAAAAACTGTGTGAGGTTGCTATCAATCTAAAGAAGAATTTTCTGGAGGTTCCTAACATCTTCCAAACTGGACTGGCAGCTCTCTATCCCTGTCTTTACATTGTCATCCTGAAAGACTTTTCTCCTTTACTGACTTTCCTACAACCCATTCTGCTCACTAGATGGGCTTTCAAGGAGTTTTCCTAAAGGTAAGATGGGGACCTCAACTCGCCCTACCCTTGTAGTAAGCTGTAGGTTCCTCAACTTACATCACAGAAAAGAATTTTAGGATGTGTTAGTGAAAGGCATAGATAGATTTATTAGACAAAGTTTAGAAAGTTACACTCGGAGAAAATAGAATGCAGGCTCACAAAAGAGCAGCACGTTGTGGTCTTTGGGTGAGAATATTTATGTGGTTTGGTGGTGTCCTCAAGATGGGCAATCCAGAACGCATACTGCTAAAGTCGAGCTATCTGCTACAGATACCAAATGTAAGCCATCTGCATGTATTTGAAGTTTAAAGGTGTGGCACCTAAATAATAGCACACTTTCCTTGAGGTGTAAGTCTGGAATGTATCCATCTACACTACCAGAGGACAAATGCAGACTCTGTTTATAGGTGAAAAGCACAGGCTCAATCTATATAAGAAATGCATGAGAGCCCAAATTACAGAAGTATTGTATTTTTAATGCTCTTAGAAGCTTTTTTTTTTTTTTTTTTTTCCAGTGAGTTTTCTGGAAGGGAATAAAGAAATCATGACCTTGGATAACTTTGTGTCCCGAAGCCGCCGTTTTCTTACTTATAATTTTTCTTTCCTCCTTTCTATCTACTGTTATTTTTTCTATCCTAGTTAATTTCTTTCTTCTATTTGGCTGATTTTCTAATTTTGATAGATCACATCCTCCAGAAGATTCCTAAGAAAGGGTATAAGACAGCCCAATTATTTTTGACAACTTGTATGTCTTAAAATATTTTAATTTTAAAATACTTCAGCCATTTTATTTCTTATTTTGAGACAGGGTCTCCCCAAGTTGCCTAAGCTGGCCTCAAACTTGTGATTTTCCTATCTCAGTCTCCTGAGAAACTGCAACTACAGGAATATACTACCTTGTCAGGCTTTAATTTAATCTGATATTTAATTAATAGTTTCAATGCTTTTGAAACTCTAAGATTAAAATTATTTTCTTTCAGAAGCTTGAAGATGATGGTTTCTTCAGTCTCCAGTGGTACCATTAAGAAATCCAAAGACCAATTGATTTCTATTATTTTGTACAAGACGAAGTTTCTTTCCCTCCCTAGAATCACGAAAGATCTCTTGGGTCTCAGTGATTGGAAATGTTACCACAATGTGCCTTAGTTCGTGTCCCTTCCCATCTACTGTCTATGGAAGCATTTTAATGGAGAAATTCACGTTCTTAGTATGAAAGTTCTCCTGAATCATTTTGTTGGTGATTGTTTCCCCATTCTTGCTGCTCTTTCATTTGCGAACTACTACCATTTGAATACTGAAATTCCTGGATGGTTCCTGTAAGTTTCTTAACACTCTGTTTCTTTCCTATCTTTTCTATCACTGGTCCTTTTGTTTTACTTTTCCAGATTCCTTCAATATTAATTTCTAATATTTCTATGGAGCTTTGACTTCTGCTATCAGAATTTCAATAGTTAGGAGCCATTTTATAAAGTCATCACATTACATTTTTATAGTATCTCCTTGTCTCATGCTGTATTATTTTCTTATTTCTGCTCTGCGAAACTTACAAGTTGCTTTATTTTGTTTAATTTCCATATTTCACACATTTGAAGGTTTCTTCAAATACCTAGTAATTCTTACTTAGCTATTCATATTTAAGAGGATAGGACTGAAATACTGAGTGGGAGTTTTGATGCCTGATGCAGTCTTAGTTGGGCTGTTTAGGAATCCGAATGAGTACATCTGTAGGTCTTTCTTTTCAGTCAGATACTCCAGAAAAGATTTTTCTACCCTCCTGGCTGGAATTTAAAGACCTAACTGGCATTAGCTTGAGTCCAGGAGAATAAAGATAGGAGAAAAAAAGCTGATGTCCAATTTTCCTATTTCCCTCAACTATGCTTGGCATCTCCGTCTATAGTCTGTTTTCTCCCCTTTCCAAAGAATAAATGTTAGGCTTTGCCAAGGCTGGGCTGAGAAACTACGCAGTTGCCCGGCTGGCTGCTCAGCTGGGTTTTAGGCCTTCCCTGGAACTCATTACTTCTTCAACCGATGTTCAAGTTTCCTTTTACCTCCATCTCCACATGCTGTCATTCTTCAGCTTTATGAGACCTCCACAGAGTAAGTCAGGTTGTTTTGTAACTTTCACTGCAATGAATCTAGAGTTAAATTTTCAATTATTCATACACTCTCTCGTTTCTAAAACTAGATGGATGTTGTCTCCCCTCCAGGCCTTCTTCGCTGAGCTTTTGATGAGTTTCTAAAACGGGTGAGGTACAACTAGGGGCTCACTCATATTTCACTATTAACGTTATTTGTTTCTAATTCATTTCATTACAAATGGCTTTTAAAATTCTTCCACTTGAATAACTATATTATGAAAAAATCTCTTAAGGTACAAAACACGCTCTTACTATTAATTAACTCTGAAAATGATTCAATTCCTGATTACATGAAATTGAGATCAGGTAGTTGTGTTTGGATCATGGAAATCAGCTTTTATTTTTGAAGTTCATCGTTTGTTATTAAAATCTAATTATACTTACTGATTTGAAAATGATTTTAACTCTTTGGGAATAAAATCAATTAATAATTTCACATATCTATACCTGTGACATTTACTACTCTCTTTAAAATAAAATTTTTAAGAAGAAAATTATTTAACAATGATCACTATAATTTTTTTAATTTTTAGGATTTATATACACAATCATTTTCTTTCTTAATTTCCTTTTTTATATTAAAATGTTTATAGGGAAAAGAAAGTAGATAAATTCCTAACACTTATAATACATGGATAATATTTAAGAATGAAAAATGTTGGGTTAAGTATATTATTTCTTTTTATTGTTTAACAAAAATTTTTATAGAAACAGTACAGCTCTAAAACTTGGGAAAAGAGAAGTTGCAGAAAACAGAAACCAAGACTATGGAGTAAATGAACCTAGAATTTTTATAGGGTTAAAACAGTACACATTTATAAATTAAACTTTATTTTATTTTATCTGTTACTAAAGATTTTCTGAAAACCAAACTCAGTAAGTAATGGCCTGAAAGCATTTCATCAGGTGTGTCCTCAACTCTCATTGTCTTAAAGATCAACTCATTGATTCAACAGCATTTATTTAATGACTACTATATTTCAGATGTTTATTTTTGGCACTGAGGATACAACAATAAACAAAACAAACAGAAGCTATGCTACCATGGAATATTCATTCTGTTTTGAACACAGAATATATACAGAGTAAATATGAATATGATCATTACTATGACAAAAAGGAATTTGGAGATGGACAAGGGTCATGCAATTTTAAATAGGTTGTTGAGGAAAGGGCTATCAGAAGATTTCACTGACATGAAATGTTTTTACGTTGTCATTTCAAAAAAATTAAAAGCCTGTAACAATAAATTCTAGGTTGAAAAGGAAAATTAATGGTGAAGCTCTACATCATTTCCAATGTTTTTTTTTATTACTCATTACTGTCTTTGATTGTTTGATCAATCTTACATTCTTATGTCTGGTGGACTGAGCAACTTTGTTGAAGATAACAGTATGTAATGTAGCAACCACTGTTAATTCCTACATTTTATTTTGAGGTCATGTATATTTTTGTTGTTTTTGTGTTGTTTTGATTTTATCTTCATTGTTTTTTTAATTTTTAAAATAAAAAAATTTTTAAAAAAGTAAAGGAAAATTAGTAGAAAGATCCCAAAATAATACAATTTTACCATCTTTTCTAAGAATTAAAACAACATATATTACATCGATGAAACAAAAGATTTCAACAAATGGTCTTGTTGAAAATCTACTTGTTTACAAAAGTGCTATCTAGACATACACCACAATGCTTCAAAATTTCTTAAAACTTAGTATCTTTAAAGTAACATAAAACCATTTTTAAGTTTTTTATACCTTGAATCAATATTACATAGAAATTTTCAGTATATCATTTATACCCTAAATGAGAAACTACAATATCTAAAGTAGATCCAACAAAAACTTCAGTCTTCAAATTAAGGACTAGAAAAATAGTTGAAATTTAAAATTTTCACCTTGCCCAGAGCGGCCTTGCCGTGAATCTACACTTGACTGTCTTCGATCGGGCGGTTCCTCGCTCCCTCCATCTGCATAAAATAAAAAAGAGCATAAACAAACAGATAACGAGATTGTCATATTTTCTCTAATGCCATCTACATATTAAAACTAGTGTTCCTATCATTTGCTTTCATTTCTTATGATCTAGATCATTAAAATATTTGAGAATTTTTTCTACAAAAACCAACAGTTCTCACACTTATTATAGGAACAGTTTACATTCGGGCCTAAAAATCTAATGAAAGTACAAGTGTTTTTCCCCTCCACTATACATAGTACACTCTACTTAGCATATAATGAAGTAATTTTATCAGCTCTGAAGTTCACCAAATCCAGTTTATAAACTCTAATTTAAAGCAATACCTAAACAAATGACAGCTGTTTATTTGTCTAAAGTACATCAAATAATCCAATCCTTAGGACTCTATGTTTTACTATCATAAACTTCATTTATGTGTTTTAAAAGATATTATTCATTGTAAATAAAGTAAGCACAGTAAAACAGAAAGCAGTACTTTGAAAATGTCTAAAGATATATCTACTTTTAAAAAATGAGACTAAACAACGGTAAAACTTTAACATAATGGTCTAAATGCCTATAAATTTCTTTTCACATTAGCCAAGTTTAAAGTGTATTCAAAACTTAACAATTTCCTTTATGCTTTCTTTTATACAACTACTTAGCTTATTTTTCACATATATGAGTGAGAACTAGTAGCTACAAGCAGAATTAACAAGGACTAATCTTGGCTGTCATCTACTTGTGGTATCGTTTATTTTTTGTCATAGACTCGTGTATTGGTATTTGTCTCTTTTTAAACATGTGACTCACTGACATAGTTTCTTTTTAAGTTAGTTATTACATGTAAGGCTTCGCAAAACTTGAATTCATTTCTCAAGTATGCTTTACAAGTATTATTTTACAGAGGCCTTAGCTAACAAATGTAGGGTTATTCAGTCAATAGATTCCAAAAATATAGTGACAGTCTAAAATAGTGAGTAATGCTCATGTCTGAGTCCAATAATACCTTGGCAACTTTATAAAATATTCCACTAATTTAATCAGTCAAGTCTCCAAAATAATTTAGTAAAAAGAAAATACTCAGTGACAGGTAGCTATATGCTTCATTGTAGTGTGCAAATACTTCTAAAACACAAATCAGTTTAAATATTATTTTGGTTCTGCGGTCACTATGTAAGTTACTACATATGAATAAAATATAATTAGATACGTTGACAAAATAAGATACTCTATGAAATACAAAGGTAAGAATTTTTCCTTTGATAAGTGAAACAGAAATTAAGGGGAAAAAAATCTATCTGTACCTTATCATCCCAGAATGAGTGATGTGCATCTGTTGAAATTAAAAATTTTAATTCTCTAATTTCATATTCCAAAAAAGCAATTCTGTAATTTATATGGATTCTTCTTCTAAGGCTTAGTGTTTTAACTGGACCAACTCACACTTAACTGTTAGGTCTAGGATCTCTTGCCTTGTACTTTCGTAACTTTATATCCAAAATATCAGAAAGTCTTAAAGTATTTCTTCTTTATAATACCTAAGAAGAGAGAGACAGGCAGCTAACATTTACTACTTACTATGTACCAAGTACTCTGTATAGTACTCAAACCTCTCTGAAGTAAAAATCTATCTCACAGATGAGGACTCTGAAACTAATGGTGACTAACTGGAATCAACTGATAAAACCAGTAAAGATGAAACTCAATTTTAATCCAAGGCAGTGAGTTAATATATCTCTCTTGTACTCAAATTTATTAAATAATTGTTGAATTTGTTAATACGTCTCCATTTCATTTTACTCACATAAAAATACCTTCGAAGAGTATAATTCAGTAACTACAGCAGTACTTCCTTTACAGAATACAGGGCTAATAAAATGTTATGAAGGTTTAGTCTTACAATTTAAATTTGATTTTCTTATTTGTTTCCAATATAAATCAAAAACCTATTCTCTTAAAAGAAAAATACTTTTCCCCATAGTCCGTGTGTGCTTTCTCCCTCCCTCCCCGCCTCTTTTTTCTATTAAAAAAGATACTGAGAGCTTCTTTTAGCAATGAACTGTCAACAACCAAAATACATTGAAGTACCTCATTACAAATTCTGGAACACTTTGCAGACAATATAAGCTTGCCTCCTCAGGTCTATATTACCATTCTTTACAGTGGATACTATTATGTAAAAAATTCTATTTATAAGGAAGAAATTTTCAGGTTTGTCATTCTGTGTTACCTGTACTTGACAACTAAAGCTCCCAACGTGCATCTATCTATCCTGCATTTTTCTACGAAATCTGTCACTGCAAACTTAGTTATATATGCTTTACAAGGAATTCAAGAAAAATGCTGCCTTAACAAGACATATATTTTAAAAAGGAGGGAAAAGCTAGCTCTCTTTCATAATGCCTACCATGTGAAAACATGATACAATTTTTTTATTTTTTAATGGAGAGGTGAATTACACTGACATAAATATCTCTTGCCAAGTCAACCACATGAGACGGACTTTTTGTTGTTGTTTTTTGGTTTTTTGTTACTATTTTTCCTTTTTTGAGACATGGTCTCACTATGTAGTTCAGGCTAGTCTCAAACTCACATGACACTCCTGATTCAGTCACCCAAATGCTAGGATTATAGGAATGCGCCACCAGGACTGGTTGAGATGGACATTTTTAGTTTATGTATGTTATGATACAGGGTTAACTAGCATATGCTGGAAATTATACCGGGAAAAAATTAAGAACCCTGATCTACCTGTTTGATTTAAAAAAAAAAAAAAAAAAAAAAAAAAACTCTTTAAACACAATTAGAATAATCTGCATTTGAAAAAGCCCTTTAAGTAGCTGCACTGGTATAACTGGATAGAAACTTACAGAAGTGAGTGGCTAAACAAATACATATGATTTTGTTACAATAAATTATAGTTATGGACACTAAAACTTAAAAGTTCCTATAATTTATATGTGTTACAAAATGTTATTCTTTTAATTTTTTCAAGCATTTAGAAATGTAAAAATCATTCTTAGATTATGGGCCATATAAAAACTGGCAGTAACCTAGAAACTGCTCTAAAAGCAGGGAGATTAGTAGGCTAATCAAAGCAATCTGTGAAAAGCAATGACTTGAAAGTAAGTGCAGTAAGGATGAAAGGAAGGCTCTGTAAATGATACATAATCTACTCTATGGGCCTTCAAAAATTTGATGGTAGCATGGGTTCCAGGACCCTTTTATTGGCTCTCTATAGGTGATTTTAAGGATAAATTGTAAACGTTCCCAAAACTACTCTAAAGAAATGCAAGATTTTACTGCTTAATTACATATTACATTTCAATCTTCTCCATGACTAAGAAAAGTATCTCCAAGGTGACTAAAAATGTGTAATTCCTTCTTCCCTCAGTAAAGCTTTATGATTCTTAAATATTCAAACCTAGCATGGTGGCTTATGAATGTAATCCCAGCACTCAAGTGGCTGAGGCTAGCCTGAGCTACATAGTAAGTTTAAGACCAGCCTGAACAAGACCCTGTCTCAAAAACAAAACAAACAAACAAATAAATGGATCAAAGCTGCAATTTTAGGCACATTAGCTCCATTGTGTAAAGTACATTGTATGATACATCTATATATTTATATAGAAATACAACCAAGGACATATTTTAGTCTTGATACTACTGTTTGATGCTACAGTTCCTAAATAAAACACTGTTGAAAGCCACAATTTATAAATTATATTGTGGTATCATTTCCTATTTTCATAAAAAACTAATGTGATATATGTTTGAATGATAATCAGATTTAAAGCCAAAATTTATCTGAATATTCAGCACAGTTATAAAATTTTCTGTATGCAATTATTTTTGCTTAAATATTCTATAAAAGTAAATAAAAAAGTATGAGCAGACCATCCAAAATTTCTACTGGTAACTTTTCTCCAAATGTAGGATGAAAACAACTGCATATCACAAAGACAGAGGCAGAATAAAAGAATGTAACACTTCTCTATGGATGACATACTCCTTTTACTCAATTTCTAATTATAATTTATCTAATTATTACTTAATTTCTAATTATTATGAGAAGTTTCCACAAATAAAGCACAATGAACACAGTAATCACTAAAGAATCTGAGATACATACCATATCACACAATTGTAAGCTACAAAACAATGTATCTATAAAAGAGATACAAAAGTAAGAACTTTCTAGAATGTCTAATTTGCACTGTTTTTAGATTTCAAAGGTTACTAGGAAATGTGTGGGAATATATACTCACATATGAACACAAAAAATCCGCATGTACATAAAATGACCTGAGTTTTAGTCTCATACCTGTCACTTTTGAGATTCTATAAGTATCAGCATTCTTATCTGTAAAAATGAGATCTTACTTTTCTCTTAAAGTTGTTGTGAGGTTCAAATCAGCTAATATATATGAAAGAACTTTGTAATCTCTAAATTGGTGATTTTTCCATCAGGAGCAAAAGTGGGACTTTAGGGACTATCTGGAGATATTTTTGGTTTCTGGAAATGGATATAGGCTGGGGACACTGGTAAACAGCCAAGAATTCACAGGATAGTCTCTCTGACAATAATAATTATTTGATCCAACATGTCAGTAGTGCTAGTAATTGAGAAGCCTTGCTCTACATATTCATAATAAAATGTTTATAGTAATCACAACCATACAAATTTAATTTTTATTGTGATTTTTTTCAAATACACAAAATTATAGTGAAAAACATAACACACACTGATGTACGCAACTACCAAACCTTAACAAATCTTAACAATTTCCTACATTTGCATCAATTTGTTTTAAAGAAATTATTTAGAGAAATACAACACTAGTGGCTATACAGAGCTGATATTTTCTTCATGCTCTTCTCCAATACAATTTCCTTTCCTCAAAAATCCTTCACTAAAGAAATTAGTCTTAACTTAGTATGCGACTTTACATCCATGGTTTAATACTCAATGTATTACACGTATGTGTTTCCACAGATGTTTACATT